AACAATCTGGGTTCAATCCTCAGCACCACACAACAAAACAAAACAAAACACTCAACCCCTATGCTCCAACTTCCCTTTTAATAATGACTACAAAAGTGGTTACGATTCTTGTTACCAAGGCATGCAGTTTCTGTAGTTCTGCTGTAAAAACTTATAGCATTATTAAGGATATATGCTATTTTAGAAGTCATTTTGATTTAATAATTCAGTATTATTATTCTGTAACTGTTTCCTATGAAAGATTTTTTGCTTTAAAAATAATAGTTATAATTATATTCTAAAATTGCATCTATATCCTTTTACATGATAGTCTTCTATAAATTTAGTTTTGTCATCCTTAAAATTTCCCGTAAGTCAACAAAGTATTTTGTATTAAATATTATTCTTTTATTAGTAAGTGCCTTTTTTGTTCATTTTCCAAGATACTTCTTTAAAGTTGGTGTGTAATTTTAAGATTTTGACATACTGGGTTTACCTTTGAAGAGGTAGAGGTAATATAAAAAAATGTTAAATCTTTAAAAAAGTGTCTTCTTTCTTTCTTCATGCTTCCAAATAAGAGAAGTGAAATTTTAGTTTCCTGATATCAGAGGGTATGATTCAGAAGTCTTATTTGTTTACAGTTTTGAGTTAGATCCAGCTCTTTTATCTTTGAGATAAAGATGATTATGCTCAGAATTAGTAAATGTTTGTATGCTGAGTTGAATGACTAAACCAAGATTTATGGTACAAGGGAATTAATGTTGGAAGAAAAAATGAAAATTTGCTGGTGTAAAAGTTTTAAATTAGTATTTTTATGGATTTTGACTCAAAAGACTTAGTAGCAAAACTCTTTAGAATTTTAGAGACTTTGAGTATGGGAAAGAAAATGATGCTTTGGAATCTTCATTTCTTAAATTTCTATGTAATGTGATAAGTAATATGAAATAATTATATTGTAGAAATACAGGTCTTCTATAAGGAGTAATATTCCTCTAGGCAGTCATTTTCGTTTCTTTAGATTATACATTCTTGTCATTGAGAAACCATCATTTGTATTGAATGTAACACAGCAAATATATTTATATGGAAATTGATCATTATAGAAAAACGTAAATTTTTCTGTTCATCCATATAATAAAACTTAGGAGTTTATTTTAGCTGTAAGGTTTAGAATAGATTGCCTTTTAAAATAATTTATTTAGCTATTTTTTGATTTACTATTGAATTATGAAGTGATAAGTTGAATTTAATAGTAAATAATTGTTTTGGTTCCTAGCTTTTTACCATGCTAGATGCCATGAGTGTTATTAAAGACTGAATCTGATGGTGTTCTCTTCCTGCTTCAAGAAGTATTCTATATCCAGGTGGGGTTGTGGCTCAGAGGTAGAGTGCTTGCCTAGCATGCATGAGACATGCATGTTTAATCCTTAGCACCACATAAAGTAAAATACATTGGGTCTACCTATAACTAAAAAATAAATATTTTAAAAAAAGAAGTGTTCATATCTTGGAGAACCAAGATATATTATCAAAGAGTGCAGAATAAGAGGTTAGAGAGGGGGTAGTATCTGATTTTGTTTAGAACCTGTAAAAAGAAAATCTCTAAAAAGGAAAGATGATAAGAAAGATTTATTGAAATAAGTTACTTTGAAAAGTTTCAACAGGGGTCCTTATAGTTAATTTTTAATATTTTCCATTTTTATGAATTTTTGAATGATCACATCTTTATCAAGTGGTGACATAAATTATTAAACCATAATTTAATAGCAGGAAAAAAGAGTAGATTTCAGGATGAGGAACAAGCAAAGAAGGGGCTACCAGTGAAGCTATATCATTTTGCTAGGCTGGGTCATAGAAAATAATTTTGTGACCTGTGGATTGTTGATTGCTCAGGTATACTGAAAATTAGGTAGCTGGAAGAAGATATTAAAGTCTCTTTGCATAAGAAGAATCCAAAAGGAAACCTATATAACCATTACATTAGAATTGTTTCTAAAATAATTCTAGCAAACATGGTTATCTGGGTTTCCTGGGAGGGTACGTAATAAACTCTAACTAACCATTTTTTCTAATTGTTGTATTTGAACAGGGATAGGATATTAGAGAAAATATAATAACAGTGGTATAAAATAATGTCAAATGACCAGACAATGGTAAAATTATATCTATATATGTATATATATAAATTATATATAGGAGATGGGGCTGGGGATGTGGCTCAAGTGGTAGTGCGCTCGCCTGGCATGCGTGCGGCCCGGGTTCAATCCTCAGCACCACATACAGACAAAAAATGTTGTGTCCGCCGAAAACTAAAAAATAAATATTAAAAAAAAATTCTCTCTCTCTCTCTCTCTCTCTCTCTCTCTCTCTCTCTCTCTCTCTCTCTCTCCATCTCTCTTAAAAAAATTATATATAGGAGCAAAGTAGAAAATTGTTATAGGTTTTAGTCACTTTCTCTAGGGACAGACAACTCAGTATGAGTCATGTATATCTTTACATAGTAGCAAAACTAAATATTGTATGTTCTTGATGATGTTCTTTGTTAGAAACTATGAAAAATAGCTGATACCACTTATTTTTTAAATTTGACTGTGTGTCAAGCCCTATCATAAGGATTTTATTTACTTACATTTCATCACTACCGTATATTTTACAAATAAATGATATTGTTCCTATTTTAAGAATGAGAGAACTATGTAAAGCTTAGAGACAAGATCAAAAGGGTAGTAAATGGTAGAGCCAAAATTTTGAGTTAAGTTCTTCTGGTTCCCAAAGCAGTTTTATTTACACTACATGGTAAAATGACATCCTGTATTCTCTAAGAAGGTAGGAAAACGTACAACATATATACTTACTATAATATATGTAGTTAGAACAAAGTTGATGTTTTTAAAAATTTTTTAAATATCTTTTTTAGTTGTGGGTAGACACAATACCTTTATTTTATTTATTTTTAAAAATACTTTTTGGTTGCCAATGGACCTTATTTTTATTTATTCATATGTGGTGCTGAGAATTGAACCCAGTGCCTCACACATGCTAGGCAGGTGCTCTACCACTTAGCCACAACTCCAGCCCTATTGATTTATTTTTATGTGGTGCTAAGGATCAGACTCAATGCCTCACATGTGCTAGGCAAGTGCTCTACCACTGAGCTACAACCCTATCTCTAGCCAAACCACAGGGTAAGCCCCATTGTATTTCTAACTGTTGTTCTTAGACTCCTGATCACAGCTGGAGATAATTACATTAGTGGTCCTGATTGGCTCTATACAGATTTTATAGTTTCCAGCTTTTCCCTTTACCGTTACTTTTAATCATCTAGTTACACTGCTTGTTATGTCCTCTATACCATGGTTTGAAATTTATTTTAAATTTTCATTAAGCTCTGAGGCCTTACCCTACTGTTTCTCATTCATAGCAGAGTGTTACCTCAATAAGAAAATGGAGGTTTTTATATCTTGGATTTCTATAACTTGTCTGTATTTGATCTTTTTTTGAACTCTTATTTATTTCAGTCACCCACTCCAATCTTCCTATGTTCAAATTGATCAGTCATTTGAGAATACTTAGTAAAGTTTCTTGATAGCTATGTGTATACCCTACTCAACACGATGCCAGAAATTCCCCTGAATGTCTGTCTTCCTCAGAATTTATCTTGATATCTGTGACTTGTTTACTTTCTACCAATTTATAATTGTTTATATGTAGGCTATCTTTCTTTTATGGAGTCCTTGAGAAAAAAAAATAACATGTTTTTAATTGAATAAATAACTGAACTGGTAATATTGTAGCAACATTTTTTAAAGATAGAAATCTTGAAAAATTAGGCAAAGATTAAAAACAAATTCATAGATTTGCTGCAACATAATGGGAAAAAAACCCCCCAAGAACCCCAGTCTTCTTAGCTTTTGATCTAGGTTTATAGACTTTAATCAGACATTAAGTGGAATATGTATATGTTGTAGGGGAGGAAGGAAGACTCACTCATTTAGAGGTGTCAAGAATATTCTCATGGTATTGTAACATTTTTTGTACATTGTCAGAAAATTTCTTTCTTACAGTGTGTTAATATAGTTTTAGTAACACTGTACTATTATAATGTGGTTATACAATCTCACTCTGGTTAATAAAATGAGAGTATTTTAATTTTTTAAAGTATATTTCATCAGATAGAAAGGAGAGTCAATGTTTAATTCCTGAGTTAATTTATGATCACAACAAAAACAAAACGATTAAGGCAGGCTTGACCACCAGGTATTAAAGTTATTTGTCATATTGAAATCTTAAAATGCATTTAACCCAGCTATCCCTCTCCTCAGTCTATGCCCAAAGGACTTAAAAACAGCATACTACAGGGACACAGCCACATCAATGTTTATAGTAGCACAATTCACAATATTTAAACTATGAAACCAACCTAGATGCCTTTCATTAGAGGAATGGATTAAAAAAAATGTGGCATATACACAATGGACTATTACTCAGCAATAAAATAGAATAAAATCATGGCATTTGCAGGTAAATGGATGGAGTAGGAAAAGATGATGCTAAGTGAAGTTAGCCAATCCCAAAAAGACAAATGCCGAATGTTTTCTCTGTTATAAGGTGACTGACTCATAGTGGGGAGGGAGGGAGAGGAGAGCATGGGAGGAATAGAGGAACTCCAGATAGGGCAGAGGGTGGGAGGGTAAGGGAGGGGGCAGGGGGTTAGCAATAATGTTGGAATGTGATAGACATCATTATCCAAAGTACATGTATGAAGACATGAATTGGTGTCAACATACTTTATATACAAACAGAGATATGAAAAATTGTGCTCTTATGTGTAATAAGAATTGTAATGCATTTTACTACCATGTATTTAAATAAATAAATAAATTTATTTAAATAAGTAAAATCAATTAAAAAAATAAAAATATCAATGTAAAAAGTACATTTTAATTTGTTATTTCAAATGAACTTATATTAGGGGGAAAAAAGGTCAACAAAAAATTAAAAACATTTTTGTTTTGTTACAGGCAGCTGTTAAATCTAAGAAAGCTACAGATACGTATAAACTCTATGTGGAAAAATATGCATTAGCAAAAGCTGATTTTGAACAGAAAATGACAGAAACAGCCCAGGTTGGTATTTTTAAGGCTTTAAGTTAAAAACAGGATACTTTGTAGGGCTGGGGTTATGGCTCAGTGGTAGAGTGCTCACCTAGCACGTGGGAAGTGCTGAGTTCAATCCTCAGCACCACATAAAAATGAAGAAATAAAATAAAGGTATATGTATATATAAAAACCCAACAAGATAATTGTATTTGTGTGTACTAATTAGTAGATTTTTTCTGCTATATAATTTCTTGGTATTAGAAATTTTAAATTTTCAGTGTTCTGATAATGCTGTTTAAAATATTTGCATCATGTTTGGAAGATGAGATAGAGAATCAAGATACAGTACTAATAATGTCATAAAAATTATTCAGATGGTTCAGAAGAGGCTGTTTAAAGATAATTAGGGAAAATGAAGGCATTGGTACATGCTGTAGACAATGACTTGTGTGTGGATTTTAAGATTTACTTAAGAAAACTGGAAAGACTCTGTATTGAGGATAATGCAGTCAGTGAAATAATGAAAAAACCCTCTTCTATAGCACTTACATTTTAGTGGGGGAAAAAGACAATAAAATATCTCTTCCATAATCTTGAGATAAATTATATTCAGTTTGGTGTTCTTAGAGCCATAATTAAAGGCTTAGTTTAAGGTGGATGCCCTTTATGAGATGAGTCCTTCCTAATATTTCCACTTCCATCCTTCTTATCTTTTTGTTTTATTTTCCTCATTAGCACCTATCACATTCCAAGATACCATGAATTTCACTTCTATCAGGTCAGATTAGGTATGCTAAGATGACAGAGAAACCCACAAATCTCAGTAGTTTGCAATATCGGGTTTTCTCGCATGCATCCCACACAGGTGATGGAAATGTGGTAGAATGGGCTGGCTGCAAAATAAAGGTAAGAAAAATAGAACGATGAAAAAAACAATAGGACACAGAAAATATTATCAGAAAGCAGGGGTGGGACCGGCTAGCCAATCATACAGCTTGAGCTTGTGTACTAAAAAGATGAAATGGGACCTGTGCTTGCTTTCTTTATATTGGGGAACATTAAAGGCCTTCCATAGAATATTCTTCACCAAAAAGAAAAAAAAGGTTATAGGTAGGCTGTCCAGTTCCCAACAGGTTATGCCCATCTCTGGAGCTACTATGAGGGATCTTCCTAGTAGAGTGCAGATAAAGGTCAGGTTCCTTGGGAAATCTATGCCGTGGGAGAGCCACACATAGTTCCCAAGGTTAAACCTAAAATCTCCTTGGCTGCTATACTGAGAGAAAACCCTCAAGTAATTCACTGGTGGCTTCCAGCAGGGTTTATTTTTTTTTATCATGCAGCATGTTTATCATAGTGGACTACAGCTCTGATACTGAGGCTAGAGGTTAGAACCTCTGAAAAGCAATGACTAATGAAAAGCTATTTTCATTAAAATGGTTGAGTCATAGCTGAGAGACTGTAAACATAGAGAAGATCACTGGCTTCTTATTTATTTTTTTTTCTTTTGGCAGTATTGGGGACTGAACCCTGCAATGCTCTACCACTGAGTAATGTCCCATGCCCTCATTATTTTTATTCTAAGACAGGATCTTCTTAAGTTACTGAGGCTGGCCTCAAACTCACAGTCCTCCTGCATCATCCCCCCATGTCTCTGGGATTATAGGCATGCACCACATTGTCAGGCTATTTATTTTATATTGTCTGTCATTCCCTCACTAAAATGTAAGTTCTCTAAGAACAGGAATTGACTTATTTTTTATATTGTTATATCCTCAGTATTTAAAATAGATCCCAGCTCTTGGTGGGTATACAGTAAGTATGAAGGATTTTGTAAATCTGTTATTTTGGACTCTTAATTTTTTGTCCTCCCACTAGAAGAAGTGCATGACTCACATCTTAGAAACCAATAGACTTGCATGTAGGCATCCCTCTTTATCATTTTGTAGGTATTGTCCTAAATGCTGGATGTATGCAGTATACATGTAAATAACTCTGCTTAGATAAAGTTTCTAGTATAGAATATGGAGGCAAACATTAAATACATGCTTAAGTTGATAAATAATTGTAAATGTTACAAGTGAAAAGAATAGGTTTCCATAAGATAGAATAATAGGAATGACCTAATTTGGGTTAGGAAGTCACTTTGGAGAATTAAAAATTGAGACTTGAAGAAAGGTAGGAGACTAATAGTACAAGAGTGTTTCAAGATTTGGAGCATGGATATGAGGACTTAGAGGTGTAAAAGAAATAATGCATTCAGGAAAGTAAAAAATACATACTAAAATTGAGGAGATGGTGGAGAGAAATGCAGTTTAAGAGTGAAGTCCAGGACTGGGTTTTAGTAAGGATTTACATTTTCTTCTAAGAGTATCTGGAAACCTCCTAAGAGTTTTAGGAGAGGATGTGACATTATCTGATCTATATTTTAAAAGATAATTCTGTCAGTTTTGTGTAGGATTATAGTACCACCAAAGGACATTGTCCAGTATAGAAGGCAGTATATATAATATGTGAGAAGGATGATATCTAGAGTGGTGGTCTTGGAGGAGGAGAAAAGTGAATGCCTTGAAAGTGGCAGAATAGGTAGAGAAATTTTGAGGAAAATAAGATTACTTTCAAATTTTGGTTTGCAATTCTCTGTGGATAGAGAGGATTGGGAAAGACTAGATGAAGAACTCTTAGTTTGATGGGCAAAGAGATCAGATATTTAGTTTTGAACAGGTTAATTTTGAGATACCTTTGAGATAACCCAGATGGAGACATCAAGTAGTCAGTTTGGAAGGGCCAAGTAATCTCAACTGGATTTAATATCCACAGTCTTTTATACACAATTGTGAATCCCCAAAGCTCTGAGAAGAAAAAAGGTGGTTTTTTTTTTTCTTTAGTAACTTATTTGGCAGCAAAATGTGACCTGAACCAATGTAAAGATGTTCATAGTCTTATTTATCTTATTTAGATCAAATATACATATAATTTCCTTTAGAAACATTAATGTGTTTGACAAAAAAAATGCTGCTTTAAGTCCTGCTGATGGTAGTCTAAAACACGAGGTATTTTTATAATGCATGCATTTTTATTTTTTAAAAATCCAGAAAATTAGAATGCTAAACCTCATCTGGTACTGAAGAGTGAATAAAGGATTATAAGCCTATGTAAAGCAGTATTGTCAGTACATAAAACCATGGTTAGTTCAATAAAGTTCATTTATTTGTACTTAACACTTGACTATCCTTATTTCCTATTGATGAATTGCTCTGAGTTTAGTAGTCACTAATTTTGAGAAATTATGGTAGTTAGCAGTAATCCTTACCCCCCAAATAACAAAATTTTAAAATTGCATTTGAATTGTGCTTTGAATTTCTGTATGGATTCATGCCTCAAATGTTTCTAAATAATTAAGAAAGTATTTTATTTAGTATAGTGTAATATTTCAAAAGGGAATGAAAATAAAGGAGGGGGGATGGTAGAGGATAGGAAAGGTAGCAGAATACAACAGTTACTAATAGGGCATTATGTAAAAATGTGGATGTGTAACCGATGTGATTCTGCAATCTGTATTTGGGGTAAAATTGGGAGTTCATAACCAACTTGAATCTAATGTATGAAATATGATATGTGAAGAGCTTTATAATGTTTTGAACAACCAATAAAAAAAAATTAAAAAAAAAAAAAAAAAAAAAAAAGGAAAAGCAAAAAAAAAAAAAAATAAAAAAATAAACTGATTATTGTAAATTGAAAAAAAAAAAAAATAAAAAAAAAAAAAATAAAAAAAAAAATAAAAGAGGGAGAGGAATCCATATCAACACACATGCAAATCCAAGACCTCTGAAAACATGAAGAAATGAGCAAACAAGTCTCTTGCCAAAATTTATAGTACCCCAACAGAGGAATCCACAAGATATGAAAGTGGATGAAATTCCAGAGAAAGACTATAATAAACTAATTATTAAAATGTTCAGTGAGCTAAAAGAAGATCTAAAGAATAAATCAAGGGAAGAAATAATAGGAGGTGAAAGACTATTTCAATAAGGAAATTGAGTTGATTTCCAGGATTTTTGGAAGGGAAAGTCACAATGAATAAAATTAAAAATTATCTTGAAAGTATCACCAGCAGATTAGATTACATAGAAAATAGAACTTCAGACCTTGAAGACAGAACTACTTCTTGAAGACTGACCTTAAAGACAGGGAATATGAACTTGAATAGTTAGTATGCAGTTAAAAAAGAGACCACGATTGGAATATACAAAAATTCTGGGAAAACATCAATAGAGCAAACTTGAGAATCATTGGGATAGAAGAAAATGTAGAGATACAGGATAAAGGTATTAAGAATCTTTTCAGTTAAATAACAGCAGAAATATTTTTCCTGACCTTAGAAATGAGATGGACATCCACATATAGGAGTCATATAGCACACCAAATAAAGATCAAAAAAGATTCTTCCCAAGACACATCATAATCAAAATGCATAATATAGAAAGTTAGGAAAGAATATTAAAAGCTGCAAGATAAAAATGTCAGGTCACATTTAGAGGTAAGTCAATAAGGCTCACTTCTGACTTCTCAGATCAGACTCTAAAATCCAGGAGGGCTTGGAATGAGATGTTTCAAGCTTTAAAAGAAAATAGTTGAGAGCCAAGAGAGCTGTATGTAGCAAAGTTGTCTTTTAGAATCAAAGAAGGAATAAAAACTTCCACGATCAGGATAAGCCAAAAGAATTTATGACCACTAAACGACAACTACAAAATACTCACAGATATACTACACACAGAACTAATAAATTCCAAAGCTTATAAATGGATGAACCTATCTAGAAAAATAACTAAGCAAATGGAAATAAGACCAAATTATACATAGCAAAGAAGCCAAAATGGCAACAAATAACAAATATCTACCCATAAAAACACTGCATATAAATGATCTCAGCTTCCCAAGTAAAAGACAGATTGGCAGAATGGATTAAAAACAAGATCCAAGTAGATGCTGTTTGCGAGAGACTCATCTCATAGGCAAAGACACCCACA